AAGAGAGAGAATAAAGTTCTGAGTGAGGAAGACAGCCTCCACGTTCACAGAAGTATCTCACACTCCAGAGTTCACCAGGGCAGGGAAGGCCTTTCATGGGGATGTGTGGAGAACCTCTCAGCGGTCTGGGGTGAACAGGTCAGGGGTCCCTGCGAGGCCCCGCCCACTGGCTCAAGGGAGGTAAAGAGGGTGAGCCCTGGGCCGCATCGTGCCAGTGAAGCTGCAGTTGCCACACCACCCTCTCTGCCTCTGCACACACAGCAGTCATGCTACAACTCCAGCCCCAGACATCTGCTCTGTAGTCACAGGCTTGGCTCTGGGCGCACAGAGGTACACACATGTGCTAGGAAGTGCAGTCCTCCAGGCAGACTGGGAAGATGGGGGCAAGAAGGAAGAGCACACTTGGGAAAACAAGTGGGATTTGCATCAAGAAGCCATGCCAACGGAATTCCCACCGGCACCCAACGCGGCCCTGTCCTTGCGGCACCACACCCCCAGTCCTCAAGAGCAAGACTGGGAGACTCTGGGGAAAACCGGGCAGCTTAATTCCGAAGCGGCAGGAGGATAGCCCAAGAAAAGAACCCAGCAGCAGCCTGTGGGACTTGCATCGCAGAGGTTGGCTCTGGACAAGGGCCAGCCTGGTTCCAAAAGGCCATTCAGCTGTCACCAAAACTCCCTGGAACATGTTCATCTGGAGGCGCAACTCCTGTAATTAACATTCCCTGCGTCCCCCTGGTGTGGAACCAAGAGTGTGTGCTGTGCCCCCATCCCTGCTGCTGAGAACACACAGGCTGAAGGGTCCCATCCACAGGGAACTTCAGGGCAGGCTGTGTACTTTGGTGGCAGAAATACAGACCTTTCCTCAAGCCACAGTCTCCTCATGATGCCAGTAGGTTCTGGAAAATTCCAGCAGGTGACTGGCATGAAAGGAGCCTGCTATAAATGTTTTCAGCCACTCAGTCCTTGGAATGCTAGATTAATAATTCAATTCTTTTTAAGAAATAAAGGGGAAGCAACAGAAAAGGTTATCATAACCATCATCAAATGCATTTTCTAAAATTATTCTATTACATTTTTAAAGGGTATAATTATAAATGTTTTTATGAGCAATTTACTGGAAAATTAAAGTTCCTACATTTAAAAACTAATTATTGCATCCCTCTGGCAGATGAGTTTTCTCCTAGCCAGCAGCTCGTTCAAGCCACGGGGCAGCACTTGTTGTTCGGGGAGAACCGAGTCCGGCCGACACAGCTTGCTCTGCAAACTCGTCTCTGTGCTGGTGAGGGTACGGGACTGCATCTCCTGGGAAGTCAGTGTTGAGACTGAAGCAGAGGGCAAGAAACGCCACTCTCCAAGTCAAAGACCCAAGGAGGTTCTGGAAGCCCTCATGGCTACAGATAAACTACAGGCCCTGGGAACTGATTTTAAGTGAGTCTACACTGAGCTTCTAGAACGATCCATGTCAGTCCAACTGAGCTTTTCGGCGTGAACCCAACCTTTGGTTTTGGTGTTTCTGAGATTGGCCTGCCCTAAAAGCCTTCAACCTCTGGCACTGGTGTTGCATAGGGGACTATGGGCCACCCCACCTGGCCCTGTGGGGACAACCTGAGCACAGCAAAACACATCCACCTCCCACATGCAGCCAATAATGCGATTCTGGAAGAAGCAGGTTTTCACAACAGCGATGCCACAAGGTTCCTGGCTCCCTGAAGTCCCTAAAAGCCTCGTTAATCTAAAGATTCACTGTGGTTTCTTTCCGCCTCATTCCTGCTTCCCATATTGCCTCTTGCCTTTCCTCCTCTCCCTTCCACTAGCCTGGAAAGACGGGATCTGAGTGACACCAGGCATCATTAATACCTACCACGGAGAAAACTGAAGAGTTTCATTAGAACTGCTCCCATGCGCTGCACCGCCGTAAGGGCAAAGCAAGTGGTATTTGAGATGATACAGTCACACCTCAGATTGTGGACACAGGGCCATTAAAGGCATCAGTCCATTGACACCTGGATTCCCCAGAGGGACAAATTCAGCAACAGCTTCAACTCTACCCAGGTGATGTCTCATGAGGTCGCCTCAATGTCGACAGATTCCAGACCCAAACCTCTGTGGACTTGCAATGCCGACTGGCTGGAAGTGAACCCTGCTAGCTCTCTGGAAATAGCTCCCAAGTGGATCCCATGGCTTCCCATTTCACCGGGTGCCAAGTGCTCCCCTCAACCCTCCCTGAGGTTGAAAATGCAAGTGCTAAGGTGATGATGTTTGCTTTCTCTTTCAAGTCACATGCCTTGGGGTTTTAAGTATTTAAAAGGTGCAATCACCTAGTGTGTAGGTTAATTTCTCTCCGATATTGTAATTTATGCAACATTAATACTGGATGCCAGCTCCAATTTTCTTACTGCTTATACTCTGGGAGCAGACTTGCACATTCTGCCAACTCCATTACATCATCTGAAAACCCAAACATTTCCCATTTTCAGATCACTCTCAAGGACCGGGCACGCTTACACTTTCTCCCTTTTTCTCCCTAGCTCGCTCATTCTCTCTCTCCTCACACACACACACACACACACACACACGTGCACACACACAAATCGGTACCCCTGAGGAGCAGACACCACATCCGAGGGTAAAGTCTGCAAATGCACATCATTTCTGGAAGCTATTACTACTGCTGTGTTAGCGAAAGGATGCCTCCATCTCTGACCTTCCTTTTTCCACTCAGACTGTTACATAACCTCGTGCCTGCGTGCAGGATGTGAGTGGAGTGTTTGGGCCTCACCTCCCTCCTCCCATCAGAATTGCCTAACAAGGATGGACAGGGGGTTGTGCAAAGAAGGGGGGGGGTGGCTCTCCAGGGGGCAAGGTGATATGGGTCAGCAGGTCAGCTGTGCAAGATGCACCCCACTCCGACTTGTCCCTCTCCCCTTTTTGTTAAGCCCAGGGGGCCAGTGGTACCGAATGCCCCGGAGTTACATAATGTGCAAGAACAGCAAGTTACGGATTTGCTAGTCGGTTCTGCAGCCTGCCACCCCATCTCTTTGCAAGAACACCTTTTGGCAAGAATGACACCTGAAGATGCTAATAACACGGTGGGGGGAGGGGACCAGGAGCGGGTGGCAGCACCAACCAGAAATGAGTGAGGCTCCCTATATACAATGTCCCCTTCCCCCCTACCACCACCACTTAAAAAAAAAAAAAAGCCTCAGAAACACATGAAGGGGATTTTCTCCAGTGTTTCTGATTAACCTTGTTACATAACCCGCTCGCATTCCAACTCCACCGTCTCAGGGTCTAAATATACTCTTTACAGCCAAAAGCTCTGGGCACACAAACTCACCGCGCTGGTGGCAGGTCCGACCCCAGCCCTCAAGCCCCTTCCCCGCGGTCCCGGCCCTCCATGCCCACCCCCTCCCGCTCACGCCGCGGCTCCGCGCGGCCACGCTTCGGAAATCGCCTTTAATTAAATGTTTTTCGCGTGTGTCATCCCGACGGCTTTTACTGTACTCGAATTCCGTGAATGGGGAATCGCCCGGACAGGGGGTGTGGCTAAGGGGGGGGTGAGGGGTATACTGTAAAACAGCCAGCACATGATCAGCCATATTCCTGCCTCCAACTCTTGACATCAGAGGAAGGGAGCGGCCCCGGGGACCCCAACCGCCTCCTCCCGGCCCTCCCCAGGCGCCGCCAGCGGCCGAGAGCGAAGAGGAGGGGTCGCGCTGGGCCGGGGGCCCGGAGCCCGGAGCCCGGAGCGGGTCTGGAGGAGGCGATGTTCGCTCCCCCGCCCCGGGCTGCTTGCGCGAGCCGCTTCCTCCGGAGTGACAGGCGTGATTTATGCATTATTTACAACAAGCATGAAAGCTGCGGCTTCCTCCCGCTCTTTGCAAACTCCAGACGCATTCAAATAAATAGCCCTCCCCCACCCACCCACCCCGAGCAAAACCCACATCGGGTGCCGACACCTTGACGAAAGAGGGAGCGAGAGCCAGGAGGCTTCCCCCCAACCGCCTACTTCTGTAAGGAAGAAGCAAGAAGGGGGCCCCGGAGCCCCCTCCCACGGCCACACGCGCTCCGAACGCCGAGACCAAGTGTACACGGCGCCGGGGAGGGGGCCCCAGGCGCGCCACAGCCAACCAGCAACCAGCCAGCCCCGGGCGCTCGCGGAAACGCCTGCAACCTGCGAGCGGGCAGGGCTCCCGGGGCACGAGTAAGTTTGGGTGCCCTGGCGCTCTCTCCTCCTGCCCGCCGCGAGCGCCGGCGCGCACACGCCCCTCGCCAGCCCCGGCGCCGGGCTCCGAACCCCGGGCTGCAAACTTGCGCGTCTGCCTTCGCCGCGTCCGCCACCCAACTTGGCCACCCGACCTCGCGCGTCCGCGCCCCTCCTCCATATCCCAAACCCACTGCTCGGGAGAAGGTCTCCCCCTTCTCGGCCCCTAGAGCTCACTTCTCCCGCTCCCCACACCCTCAGCTCCGCGGGGCGCGGAAAACACACCCCGGACTCGGGCTGCCGGGGCCGCAACTGTCAAGAGCAGAGAGAGGTAAGGAGGGAAGGAGAGTGGCCGGACACTGATTTCCCCCTCCTCTCCTCCTCCACCTCCACCATCCCATCTTAAAAGGACGCTGCCGCTTTAAAAGTTTCTTTCCCGGGCCCCCACTCCGCGCCGGTCCGTGTTTTAGGGGCGCGCGTTGCCCTCGGGCAGCGCCGCGTTCCTCGCCTCTTTTGCAGGCAAATCAAAGCCAGGGCTGAGTCCGCCGGCTGTCAACCCTCCCGCCGCCTCCCCCGCCCCCTGTTCTCCTGCAAGCCCAGAACCGGCTGCAAAAGTTTGCAACATTGCTGGGGGGCGGAGGGGGGAGGGGCGCGGGGCGCCGCGGGCTCGGGGCGCCGCCGCAGGCTCGCGCGCGGCCGCCGGACCCCCGCGCCCCGGGCGCCCGCTCCCGGCCGCCCCCCGCCCCGCGCCAGGGCTCCCGCCGCCCCCTCCCCAGCCCCGCTCGCAGCCGCCTACCTCTGCTGGTGCTGGAATAGCTCTGCCTGCGCACCGCGGCGGGCGGCTCGCTCTTGCGGGCGGATTCCGGGTTCAGCGGGGTCTCCCTGGAGCCGGCGGCCGCGTCCGCGCCGCTGCTGCCCGGCTCGCTGGCGGCGGGGTCGGGGGCTGCCGGAGCTGACTCCATGTTTTTTCCCAATGTAGAGATCGCTGGAGATGGCGAGCTCCGAGACTCCCTCTATCTTCTGTTTTCAGAGCAACTCTATGGTACCAAAAAAAAAAAAAAAAAAAAAAAAAAAGGGAGAAGGAGACCGGCGAGAGCAGGAGGGAGAGAGCAGGCGGCGGCGGCGGCGAGAGCGCGAGCGAGCGCGCGGAGTGGCGGGGTGGACGCGTGTGTACGCCGGGAGGCGCGGGGAGGCGGCGCCGGCCACGGGCAGCGCGAGCGAGAGCCGCCCCGGCCGGCCCCCACGCCCGCACTCCCCACCCTCCAGACCCCAGACCGAGAGCCGCGCACTGGCTGCCAGTTTTGGGAGGTGGGGGCAGAGACGGGTTGGGGGGAGTAGGAGGCGGGGGGGGGCTCCCGGGCGCCCCAGTCCTCCGCTCTCCCCAGCCCAGGGACAGAAATTATCGCCGGCGAGCTGGTCGCGCGCCTGCTTCTGGGACTGTCTCTCAGTGAGCCGAACTCGTCGCTCTCCGCCGCTAGCCCGGCAGGAGACAAATCCGATTATCCGCGCTGGGGCGTCGCAGGTGGCTCCCTGCCGGCCCTGCCCAGGACTGTGGCGAAACTCGGAGAGGAGTTAGAAATGGGCTGACACCCCAAGCAGAAAGGAGGCCGGGAGGACGTGGCGCTCTTTGCTTTGGGATGGGACGGCCAGTGCGTTTCCCACCTCGGTTAGACCTGTCTGTGTGGCAGACAGGTGTGGCGTCTGAACTCGCTGGGCACACCCAGTCTCTCGGTGGGGTTGCAAGAGCAGGTTTCCAGCTCCTGGGCAAAGGAGCCAGGATGCATGTTTCGGGACACACTTTCTGCTTAAGTGAACTCTGGCCTGCCTGGTCCGTAGCCATGTGGGGTGGATGAAATCAGAGGACGCCACATCTGTCTCCTGCGTGGCTGCTAATTGTCAACCCCCGCTGGTCCGTTTCCTAGTAAATGCAGGGGCGCATCCCTGAAAGGCAGGCTGGAGAGGGATGAATAAAGTCTGAGGATAGAATTCAGATAATTACCACTCTTAAGAAGTCGGGGCACTGCACGCATCTCTCTGCTCCCTCCTCCCACTGAAACTCACTCATCCCCTGGCAGGTGCCTGGTGAACCTTGCCAAGTGTTACCTTCAGCCCAACTCCAATACAACACAAACTCTACAGATGGAAAAAACTCAAGTGTTGGAAGCCCCAATGGTCTTCCTCAGTAGTCAAAGATGCTAATGGAATCAGTCCCATTCTTAACATCACTCCCACCTTCCTTTCAGAAGGCTCAGAATTTTGACAACAAACAATATTATTATATACCAGAAGGTGGCATAAACACGTGTGTGGAAGAGGGTGGGGTGGGGAAGGGATCTGGGGAACATTTTGCTTCCACTAACCTCCTAGTCTGGAAAAATGCTTTTTTTAAAAAAGGAGGAAGAAAAATCCCAAATAATAGTTTAAGAGCAACTTCCACATATGCTGAATTTCACACATGGGTGGTGTGACTGTTAACGATCTTGATCTGATTTCAAATACACAGTGCTCTTTGCCATGGTCTGTGTGTTAATCAGCAAAACCTGCCTGTCGTCCACTCTTCCGGGAGATGTAAATCAGATGTGAACAGCTCTGATACCTTAATCCAGTCTCTGCAAGGATCCCTGGCTTTAGCCTGTCTGTTGGCGCCTACAAACAATGCCACAATTTTCTCCTCCATCCCAAATCAAATGTGCAGGTTTGCCCATACACTGAAGCGCGGGTTTCCAGAGCAGCCTTCACATCCCTTACCACTGGTTAGCCTGTTAATCATGTTCCTGATGCAATTGACCTTGCATGCCACACTTGACTTTCCTAAGTAAACAGATAGATCACAAGCACACAGTTTAATAAACAACTTCCTCTGGGCCCTGAGCATCTTAAAGTACATCCACTGCAGGGTCTGTATTGTACAATATTTTGAAAAATACTTGCCTAATATTAAATTCACCAGTAATACTATTTGGGATGTAAGTGTCTGAAACAGAATCCCGGCTGCCTCTTGATACAAACAGCTGATTAATGTTTTGTGGTTAAGTATGTTCCCTTGAGCCTTAAGTGTTCCTCTTTATCTAAGGTGGGATTTGGTCACCCTGGAAAGACCTTCCAGAAAATGACCCTAGTGACCTTACTCAGTGATGATCGACTTTATATTCCCTTCAGAGAGAGAAAGAGAGGGATATCCTGGCTCCAAAAAGCCTTTTCTCCTAAAGTAGAAGACAATTACCACCTCTGCAATTTAAAACAATCAGGAGTTCAAGTGCTTTCCCCACGGGAAAAATAAAAGTGAGTTAGATACATTCCTTGACTGTCAATCATCCTTACTAAAGTGTAAATTACCAGGACTGGGGAAGCATTTACAACTTGAAAAGCACAGCGATTCGGCTTGTATTTCTTTCCTGCCCCTTTCCAGTTGACTAATTAAGGCTTTCCAGTTTTCCAAATATTTAGAGAGGTGAGAAGCTTCCTTGGACTCTGCTCTTTGACTAAGGCCAACAGTGCTTGCTTGAAGATGGTGGTTTTACTTTGTGCTGCCATGTTCTCCAACAGACAAAGGCTTAGGAAAGCTATGCTTTGTAGAAGAGGTAAACCCAAATCTGGTGTTTTCCCCCAGCGGTTTCTTTCCCCACCCTCACAAGGACTCGCCATATCTCCTTGCTAATCCTAGGCTCTACTCCTGGTTGCATAACTACTTTTTCCCCCTCTCCTTTAAGATGATTCCTGGGAATTGCAGTTACTTTTGACTCCTATCTCTCTGGCTACGGTTCCTAATTCTTCATACCCTGCCGCACTTGCCAAGGGCTAGCAATTCTACCTCCCTGTCAAATGCCCCTCCACTTGGAGTCATCCATCCAGTTCCAGACAGCACTACTCACCTCATCCATTTCAGTACACTCCCAAATAACTGGCCTTCAGTCTTCCAGCCATTCTAATCCATTCCAGATCGCACTGCCAAGTTAATTACCCTGAACTACAGCTCTCATTTCCCACCGTGTCACTCCCCTGCTTACAAGACTTTAATGGCTCCCTATTGCCTATCCAATTAACTACTAACTAGTCAACACAGTATTTGAGGCTCTACCTCGCTTATGTCTGCACTCCTACGCCCAGGATGGCGGGCTGATCCCATCTCATGGATGAACTCCTGAGGTTGGATGGAAAGGAGTGGGCTGTGATTGATTAAGGCTGCCTCCCCCAGTGAAGCCTGGCCAGTATAAAATATCTGCCAGGCAGATGCCAACAGCCTTACATCCCTACACAATCCCGCAATCCACCTGTCACCCTCAGACCATGCCACATTTGGCTGCTTCCTCCTCCTGAGTTCAGGGTACCCAGGGAGTTGCCTCTGCCTCTCCTCCCTAAAAGCCCTCCGTGCCTTCTCAGTTTACTGAAATCTGCCTTACTTGCAAGGCCTGTTCTAAATGACAACTCCTCTATGGAGACTTACCTGATTTACCCCAAACCCAACATTGGACTTCCTGGTGTTGCACATCCCTCCTTAAGGCACTGTGTCTACTCTGTGCTATGGTTGTCTGGTCATTTGTCTTATTGCCCTGGTGGAAGGTACATTCACTGATAACAGGAAGTTGCACACAGTAGGTGCTCCTTAGAATTGGTAGATTTGGGAAATGCAGTTGATGAACTAATCATAAAGCAGCCTGTCCACACAGTGATTCCATTACACAGGCAGAATGAAAACCTAAGCATTTCAACTTTCAATCACTTGAAATAAGCCTTTCCTTCCTGGATAAAAGATTAGTTGACATGTGTGGGCTGTTAAAATTTATATATGCAAAAAAGTTGACAGTTATTTTCTTGCATTTCTTGAAGAGATAGAGAGAAGGAAAATGATAGAAATACATAGTAGAATTTCCTAGGAAGTATGGAGTTTTCTACAACATGCATAAGAACAAAGACAGAAAATTAAAACTGAGTGCCCACACAACAAGGTTTTTTCACGAAAGCATCCAAGAAACTGAAGCTGGCCCATGTGCTGAAAATGAAAGAAACCCAAATGAAAGTGCAGCCCTGCTCATGGGCCCCAACCAGTCAAGTCCAGGGTGCGAAGAGCCGGCCATCAAAATCAGAGAAGGCATGAGCTCAACCTGAGGTCCCCCTGCACTGTCGCAGGAGAGCAAGGCTTGCCAGCAGCCACAAATAAAGACAGAGATGGAAGCATACAGTGTCCCACCCGGATGATCCATTCTACCATGTCCCAACTATGGAGCAAGGAAACTAAAATGCAGAGCAGAGCAAGGACTTGCTGAAGGCCACCAAGGCATCTGTGACATGAAGGGACTGTCTGAATTCAAGGCCAGGGCTGACACTAGTGGTGAGGTGGAGGGCAGCTTACTGTCACTATGCCTGTGCTTCTTCACCAAGCAAGGATGAGCACTGTTGGCCGGGGTGGGGAGAGATTAGATGAAGAGGATCTTTTTGGAATGCTGGGCCTCCCCTAATTTTCTGGTTTTGTTTTGCATCTCACAGGATGTAATAAAATTCTGCATAGAACTGCACTGTCCAATACTAGAGCCATTAGCTCCATGGGGCTGTTGACTGCTTAAAATGCAGCTAGCCCAAACTGAAATTGAAATGCACACTTAATTTTGAAGATTTACTAGTAAAAGGATAAAATCGGCTGGCGCCGCGGCTCACTAGGCTAATCCTCCGCCTAGCGGCGCCGGCACACTGGGTTCTAGTCCCAGTCAGGGCGCCGGATTCTGTCCCGGTTGCCCCTCTTCCAGGCCAGCTCTCTGCTGTGGCCAGGGAGTGCAGTGGAGGATGGCCCAGGTGCTTGGGCCCTGCACCCCATGGGAGACCAGGAAAAGCACCTGGCTCCTGGCTCCTGCCATCGGATCAGCGCGGTGCGCCAGCCGCGGCGGCCATTGGAGGGTGAACCAACGGCAAAGGAAGACCTTTCTCTCTGTCTCTCTCTCTCACTGTCCACTCTGCCTGTCAAAAAAATAAAATAAAAAAAAAATAAAATAAAAAGTAAAAGGATAAAATGCCTCATTAATAATTTTATATTGCCTGTTGA